GGCACTGGTTTGAGAACCACGAATCCTCCTTAACGTCCTGAGAAGCTTGCCAGATCGAGCTTAAGTGCACGTTCATCAGCCAACTTTGACGAGAGAGAGGCAAATTCCTGATTATGTCCAGGACACGGCCCCAACGATAGCGTCACCGCCTTCGTGGAGGGTGTTTTGCGCCTGATCGAGCACCTGCGCCAACCCTGATGCTACAGAAGACAAGAAGTTAAGAATCCCATGTCCCTCATGTGATAGACGACACCTTCGGCAGCCTTGTCCGCAGCCCCACGACAATAGTCGAAGGGTCCATATCACCGAGGCTTCTAACATTGAATGTAGACTGCAGGCCCGAGCCTGTTAATATCAACAACTCCCCAGCGTCTCGGCACTCGAGTCATCCAGCTAAAACTTGGACTCCAGCCTCCCAGGCATCCGCGACATCCTCCAGGACGTTGTCCGGGAGAAGATCAGGAAGCTACTTACTGCCATCAGTTGCCCGGCTTTTATTTTGATTGCCGAGTTTGTTTCGGAACAAGTTCGACAGGCATTTCAACTGAAGACTTCTTTGAGCGAAGCGGAATCTGACGAACCGAGGGCCAATTATGCCAGAAAGTCGCAATGACCGCCACCGGCTGCCCGTTACTGTTCAATGCCAATTCAACGAGACACCCCAACGCAGAAGCATTCCCGACATCGGGGAGAACCAGTGTAGGTCCGCGCTGAACAAAGCACACCGAGGAAAACGGAGGTGCTGCGAATGGTCAACCTAAAACCACATTGCTACCACTGCATGAGGCCGACTATGTCTACTGAAGATGCCCGTACCAATGAATGGGCCTGCAAGGGTTCGTGCCGAACGACCCTCGACCACGTCTCGACGAGCGTCAGCGAAATATTGAGGATTATCAATGGCGGCTTTTGTCCCTGGTGCCGACATTACCCCGAAGCTCCTGATCCCCTTCACCTCGACGGGAGGTGAGCACGACAAAGCAAGTGAGCGGCAATGCAACGACAGTTGATTTGGTGTCGTGTGTTGTCCAAGGACAATACCTAATAATTTTCTGACACTAATTATCTGTGTCCACGTCACGAAGCACACAATTTCCAACTTTGAGGGAGAGTGCCGCTGAGTGACTTGAAGAAATAGAATGGTTGGTTGTTCTCGAAAGTGGACTCCAAGCATCACCAGACTTTACTTTGCCACACGAGACTTACACAAGTTGCAGTGGTCGCGGGATGCTGAAAAAATTGCCATTACGAAATGGAAGTAAAATGGCTAGGATAGCAAACAAACATTATTGCCAGCTATCTGGTCAATGGTACAGCAAAAGGCGCAGCCACGTAAGCAATACATGCTCGAGCTTGCTTCATTGGTGCTGAAAACTATCAGGAAAATGTGCGGATTAGAAGCCAGCCCTGCAGCTTCATGTGCATCACGTGTCAGTGACTGCACATGACGTATGATTACAAGACGGCATCAACCGTTCAAAGTTGCCACTCGACCAAACTGAATTGCCAGGAGCGTCATCCGGCAACAAAGAGCACAGGTACTCAACGACTGAACACCTGACACAAGACTGTCGCAGAAAGAACTCGTTATAGAACCATTTGCAAAGAACCAATAATTACGTAATCATCTGGAAATAAACATATTTGATACACTAATGAAATAAACATATTTCCGCTCGTCTTTACATTTTCACAGTCTATATGCAAAGAATTGTGTTCACCACGCGTGCTGGACCTTTTGAGGACACTCGCATCTCTGACCCCTCCATATTAATTAATGGGACATACCAGACTGGCAGACCGGTTGCACTGGGCTGCACTCGTTCCACTATTCATGAACATGTGACGCATTCAAAAACCAACTCCAGTGATGTGAAAATGTCATTTATAAATTTATTCCCTCCAGGGGCCTTTGTAGGCATTGCAGAGAGGATGCTTAAAACTACATACATGATAATAACATTAAAACACTCTGCTGTAACTTGTTAATTGCAAAAACTAATAGACCTCTGAGCATCTCTGAGCATCTAGTTTAATAGTATGTGTTGATGCATTGTTATATAGCAGGACACTTCCTATAGGTATGACACAATAGACCCTTTGCAAAACCCCATCAAGCAACACAACTGTCACCTATTGTTTTTCGGCGTAAAGCACACGAATGGGCCCCAGTTCACGTCGAACGTTAATGCATAATTCAAGTTCAATAGGCGCTCAGCCGAGTTCACAGTGATGGCGGACATAACATTGCCGAACAAATGTCCAAAGTATGAAGACCTTGGGCAACTAGAGTAGTATCTACTGTAATTTGTCCCATCACAATTTGGGAAATGGCACAGGCTACAGTCTCGGCGAGCCAACTCAATATGCACGTTAGAGAGAGGCATATGACAACATATCATCAGAGTGCTCGTCTGCACTGATTTGTCACACACCTTCACTCCGTCTTTCTGATTGGCTCGAGGGGGCTGTGGCGGTTGCCCTTTTCCAAGTTACGGTAATGCGAAGCCCACACTTTTGAAAAAAAAGTCAATTGGAGAGACCGAAAGGGATGGTAGTCAACATTTTTCAACAAGACTGCTCTTCGGGCAAGGCATGAACACAAATTTCAATAATCTTGTCCAGGTAATTAGAATAAGGAAATAATTGACCGACTAATACAATGCGATCTTGATGAAAAAAAAGTATTGCTGCAATAAATCCTACGAAAGAAAAAAATGTGCAGTTTATCTATGCGTACACTAAAACGATGGTTCTTATAGCAAGTGGAATCGATTTGAAGCAGGTGCCTGCAACCATTTATTTATCCCCACAATCAATGAAACGTCATTTTCGCAGCTGAAAAAAAAAGCACTTCGCACTCACAAAAAAAGAGGAAAAAGCGATCGAATGTAGAGTCGTCGATTAGCACAATAGGTTAAAGATGGCGGGAGCTCCCTCGCCAAAAGTTTCTATGGTTATTCGGTGACGCAGGGCTGAAACAACTTCCCCTAGGCCCCAACGCGACGCGACGTATGCCTTTCGCTTCGATTTTCAGACGTTCAAACAAAGCTAGAAAAATGCGAATATTTTATGCTAGAAGTTATATCATAAAATTGTTGATAAGTCGAAAACGTAAAAATCGCAGGAGCTTCCTCGCTTAAACGTTGGCTGTGATTATGCAGTTACCTAGGGCTGAGTCGAATTCCCCTAGGCCCTATGTTCAACGCATACATTTCGCGTCGATTCTCAGGCATTCCAACGTTCAAACAAAGCTAAGAGAATGCGAAAATTTTATGCTGAAAGCACTCAAAGTTCTATATCGATCCTCGAACGCATCCGGAAATCCGAGCACCGGCACGGCGATGCGGCTGATGCTGTCTCACAGGCGTTGATATCCATATATCCAAAGCGACCTAGCGCAAAAAGGGTATAAAGTCTCATTCCTTCAAGTTTTCACATCATACCTACATCAACGAGCACGAAAAAGCCCGAAGTCGTCGGAAAGCAGCTGCCCATCACGGCTACCGCGCACCGAAGAAATTCGCATCCGCCAGCCCTGGGCGCTGCCATCCTACCGATGACGTCACGGCTGTTGTGGGGTCACGTGACGAGTGGTCACTTTTGCGTACAACATGGCGGCAACCGGGGGGGGGGGTGCCACTTTTGAACTTCCGGTTTATCACTCTAAGCCCCTCTACCTCGTTGGTCACACGACATGAAGACTCCTTTCTGACGTCATATTGCATTGACAACGACGACGATGTCAACGTTGACGTTGATGACGACAACGACAACGTCATGGGACGTCTAGATGACGGAGTCCTTGTCAATGCGACGTCATTAGGACGATTGGTGTTAGTTCGTCGACGTCGTTGTCGACATGACACAACTCGACGTCACGAAGACGTCCTGACAACTTTAAGACGTCGACGTTGACGTCATCGTCGACGACGTTACACGACATCAAGACTTCATCGTGACTGCGCGTCGACGTTGATGCTGGCGAAGGCGACGTTACACGCCGTCAAGGCTTCGTCTTGACGTTGACGTTACCGATGACGTGAGGACGGCGTTAACGTGACGTCATAGTGATGTTTGACGTTGTGCGGGGCGTCGACGTCAACGTCGGCATCGACGACCAAGTCCACGTCGTCCTCGACGCGGCGCGCGACGTCATGACCCCGTTGCAACGGCGACTTAGTGTCGTGTTACAGCGTCGTCCTCAACGCGACGCGATGTCATGACCGCGTTACAAGGGCGACTTGATGTCGCGTAACGGCGTTGTCCTCAACGGGATGTCACGACTGCGTTACAACTGCGACGGACGACGCGACGGGATTTCACGACGGCCTTACGACAGCATCTTGGCGTCGCGTAACGTCGTAGTCGACGATGACGTCGTGGCGTCGTCGTAACGTTACGTCGTCGTGTCGTGGTGCTTTGACGTTACCTCTGACGTCAAAATCATAAAAATACAATATAGCCCCTAAGGGCTATATTGCCAATAGGACCTTTGCCTTGTGTCGTGCCTCTATCGCACGCTGCGAAGTTGGCGCTTCCATTCGTTTTGGCTTTGTTTCACCTGATCGCTTTCCACACTTTGAGGTCCAACTGAAAGCATGAGCGAAGCCTGTAGCTCGTCCCGCTCGTACTTTCTAGTACGCTCTAGCTCTGAGCAGCAGGTCCTGGCTCGAAACACGTGGAGCGAAAGCTTGCGCTGCAGAATCCAGGGATCCTGGGTACAATCCACACACCCACCCGCTTCGATATGGATGAGCATCGCACCTGCGTGCGATCGTGTATCACTACTGCGTGGTGCACGTTAAAGACCCCAGGCTAGCGGTTGTACCTCCCTGGCTAAATTGCTCATCTACAGCTGAGACACCAGACGTCCATTGGACTGACTAACTTGCGGCTGCATAAACGTACACGTAGCACAGTTACGTTTACCATGCACTCAATAATTTAAATGCTCTACGTTGACCGTGTTAGTATATCAACGATGTGGAAGCACTTACCGGATGACAATAACTCAAACTCTTGTTGCGTGATGAGCAGAATTCATTCGGCGACAAGGCTTCACCCATGTATGTTCTGTTTCCGTGGACCGGTGACCACTTGTTTTTACGGTTGAGGCAAGTGGAGTCCATGCTGCACGAAGTCGAGATATAATGTTCCAAACAAAAGTCCTGTTTCTGGTGACAGGTGTGTAGTACATTTGTGTACGCGACGTTGAGGGTTTCTGACAGCTTCACTCGTTAGTGTGTTGGACACCCGTCACCTTGGATTATATGTTTGGATTTTGCTGTTCTCATCGTGAGGGCCGATTGTACCCTCCCGAAGCTCGAGGCTACGGACGTTTGCCCTCTTCCTGCCGGCTTCTATTGTACAATCGCCGCGATGTTTCAGCCGATAAAACTAAAGTTCTTACGATTTGCGTTCTACAGAGCGGTTTCACGTTCGCACTTGTATGCAACGTGGGCTGTGTGTGATGTTTTAATAAACGTGTGGATAATTTAAAACATATTACTTGTGTCCGGTGTTTCCCCCTTTTACGCTGTAGAAGGTAATTTTAGCAAATTTTCAGCCTACTGCGTGCCAACTAAACTTGTTTTAAGCTTTTTTAAAGGCATGAGACGTCGGGAAAACTTTATCCCGCTGTTCAACACTACATGTAGTTCCGCCTTGTCTTTCACTCATATTTGTAGTGTGGAAGCACCAGATTTATTATTGACTGGGCGTGCTCGAGTGTTTCATATTGAATCCGAAGCTTGGTTTGCGTTCTACAGAACGGTTTCAAGTTCGCGTTGTGTGCGGGGCAAGCTTTGCGAGATGCAATAATAAATAAGTGAATAATTTAAAACATATTACTTGTGTTTGTTTTTCCTGCTCCCATTTTACGTTTTATACGGTAATTTGAGCGACTTTTTATTCTACCACTTGCAAAGAAAAATTGTTTTTAGCGTTTTCGTTGGCATTCAAAGACGTATCGCACCTGTATTTTACCCTAAATGCAGTGCCGACATGTCATTTGGTTGCATTTCTAGTGTCAAAGCGAAAATAGATAAATATATTTGCGTTGCGTACCCGGGTTTTTCTCTGTCGAATTTTGTCTTTCGACTGCGACGATGGATTAACCCTAATCCATCGCCGGAGCCGAAGGGCCGGATTCCATCTGGACCCCTGGAAGCAAGTTAACCCGGATTGAAAATGCCTGATCGACACTGGATCAAAAAGTGGGCAAGAAGAAACCTCCAGTCCGCAAACAAAACAATCAGTCAGATTCAACCTGACATTATTTGTTCAGGCCCAAATTTAGATCAGGACTGGATCCGACATTTTTCATTTTGGATTCGACGTTATGCGCAATATTTTATACAACTACCGTTTTTGCAGAGTTTCCTTGATCAACTTTCTTGAACAATTGGAAAATGCGTAGGGCGTGTAAATTTCTCCGGTTCCCATAAAATACCCGCCGTCTTCGGGACATCCAGAAGCTTCAGCTTTTCCGTCATACTCCGCACCTAACCTGCGAGACGAGGACACGCTTGAGTTCGTTTGCAGCTTTAGCCATCCGCCACAAATAGGCATAATATAAAAACGGTCCATCAAGAAATTTGCTAACCGCCAACTCACTTCTGCTCCGTCACGAAAATAAGAACAAACACAAAACTTCAAAAATAATTACTCGCTCTTTGCTTTACTCAGCAATTTATCCAATTACTGTTGCTGTCATGTAAACTTTGCCCTCATACTGCTTTTAACAACGAAACTCTCTCTCTTTTAGTGATTTGCGCATGTTTGCATATACCGGGCGTTTCTGCAAAGAGATTTAAAGATCCCTAATAATAGGTTTTTTAGAAAAAATTAACTCTCAAGGGAACAAATTGCCAGTCATGGCGGACGTCCGGCATTGCAAAACAAAACATACTAATTGGCAAAACAATAATGTAAAATTAACTAATCAACTTTTTTATTAGCGCAAATAAACACCTGGTTCCAACTACGAACTTGCTGAGCGTTATGACGACCTGAAGCACGGGTGAAGCACAGGGGCGAGCTCAAGTTATCGTGTGCAGCAGGCGCAAGGCCAACGATGCGAAAACGCGAATAAGAATATAATTCCTGTTTTTTTCACATATACGTTAGGCTTTGGTCTGAGTTGAGATCACAGAAACGTGAAGATACCCATTCACAGGACGGCGCTAACGTTTTCTTACGTTACGTTATGAGCAGGGTTCCGTGTTCTTTGTAAATATCAATAAACAACCGATAGATAATTAAACCCAAATTCAAGCTCCCTTGAAAAGGAAAATCCCCACTTTTATTTCAAGACTTCTTTATCTGCAGCATTTTGTTTTTTTGTGGTCGCTCTGAACATTACCATACCCATACTAACTGTCCTTTAGGTTCCTTCTTTCCTTGAGAATCACGTCCCTTGCCCCGTCTTCTATACTCAGTATTGAGATGATTTTTTTTTAAAGTATTTGAGTAACGGGATAAGTTCCACAGGCCGTGATAGAAAAAATTAAAGCCGTTTACACCTTCCTGTAACGCCAATTAAGAGCGCAAGAGCAGGAGTAGGGGAGGGTATACTGAGGAAAGGGTAAACCTCTCCTTCCCATCCGTACCCTCTCCTCCCCCCTCCACTTTCACGCGCGAAACGCGTGTTCTCACGCGACGTTTCGGCACCGTGACGTTTCGGTGGAAATCACGTGGCGAAATTTCACGCGACATTTCGGCACGTTATTCCACCGAAACGCCATGGTGCCGAAACGTCGCGAGTGACGTTTCGGCACGTGACTTCTACCGAAACGTCACGGTACCGAAATGTCACGTAACGTTTCGGCACGTGACTTCCACCAAAAGGTCATGGTGCCGAAACGTCGCGTGACGTTTCGAAATGTGACTTCCCCCAAAACGTCACGGTGCCAAAACGTCGCGTGACGTTTCGGCACGTGACCTCCACCAAATCGTCACGGTGCCAAAACGTCGCGTGAAGTTTCGGCACGTGACTTCCAAGTTTCAGCGAAACGTCACGGTACCGAAATGTCACGTCACGTTTCGGCATGTGACTTCTACCGAAACGTCACGGTGCCGAAACGTCGCGTGACGTTTCGGCTCATGACTTCCCCAAAACGTCACGGTGCCGAAACGTCGCGTGAAGTTTCGGCACGTGACTTCCAGCGAAACGTCACGGTGCCAAAATGTCGCGTGATGTTTCGGCACGTGACTTCCACCAAAATGTCACGGTGCCGAAACGTCGCGTGACGACTCGGCACGTGACTTCCCCCAAAACGTCACGGTGCCGAAACGTCGCTTGAAGTTTCGGCACGTGACTTCCAGCGAAACGTCACAATGCCATATGTCGCGTGACGTTTCGGCACGTGACTTCCACCAAAATGTCACGGTGCCGAAACGTCGCGTGACGTTTCGGCATGTGACTTCCCCCAAAACGTCACGGTGCCGAAACGTCGCGTGAAGTTTCGGCACGTGACCCAGCGAAACGTCACGGTGCCAAAATGTGGCGTGACGTTTCGGCCCGTGACTACCACCAAAATGTCACGGTGCCGAAACGTCGCGCGACGTTTTGGCACGGGACTTCTACCGAAACGTCACGGTACCGAAATGTCACGTGACGTTTCGGCACGTGACTTGCACCAAAACGCCACGGTGCCGAAACGTCGCGTGACGTTTCGGCACGTGACTTCCCCCAAAACGTCACGGTGCCGAAACGTGGCGTGAAGTTTCGGCACGTGACTTCCAGCGAAACGTCACGGTGCCAAAATATCGCGTGATGGTTCGGCACGTGACTTCCACCAAAATGTCACGGTGCCGAAACGTCGCGTGACGTTTCGGCACGTGACTTCCCCCAAAACGTCACGGTGCCGAAACGTCGCTTGAAGTTTCGACACGTGACTTCCAGCAAAACGTCACAATGCCAAAATGTCGCGTGACGTTTCGGCACGTGACTCCCACCAAAATGTCACGGTGCCAAAACGTCGCGTGACGTTTCGGCATGTGACTGCCCCCAAAACGTCACGGTGCCGAAACGTCGCGTGAAGTTTCGGCACGTGACTTCCAGCGAAACGTCACGGTGCCAAAATGTCGCGTGACGTTTCGGCACTTGACTTCCACCAAAATGTCACGGTGCCGAAACGTCGCGTGACGTTTCGGCACGTGACTTCCACCAAAACGTCACGGTGCCGAAACGTCGCGTGAAGTTTCGGCACGTGACTTCCAGCGAAACGTCATGGTGCCAAAATGTCGCGTGACGTTTCGGCACGCGACTTCCACCGAAACGTCACGGTGCCGAAACGTCGCGTGACGTTTCGGCACGCGACTTCCACCGAAACGTTACGGTGCCGAAACGTCGCGTGACGTTTCGGCTAGTGGCTTTTACCGAAACGTCATGGTGTGGTAACGTCGCGTGAATCACAAAATCTACAGCCGTGTACTGTTTTCTTTAAGCTTCTGAAAGGACCCCAGACCATTTGGGGACCAACAGGCTCCAGTTCAAAGCAGATTTGGGCGCCAGTCGGCATAGGTGCGGAAACATAAGAGCGTCTGAGATTATTTGAATTAATTTGAAAATTTTGAATCTTTTGGTGAAGGCGCCGAGGATCACCCTGTGTGCAAGTTATTTACGTGAAATTGTCTTTGTTTGTCGCCTTTTATGTTGGCTGCTGCACTGGCAACCTGGCCCCTATTTTTAGTCCTTGTTTTAAAGATACTAATTTAGAAGTGAAGTGTTAATTAATCACCTCATTCTATTTGTCCAAGGTCGCCTGCCCAGCTGACACTAAGATTATCTTCGCTACGCTCCGATTTCTTACCAGGCAATAAATATAAACACCGAAAAACACCGTTTCCGGAAAAATAATCAACCCCCAAATAATGTCCTTAATTTAAAGAAAAAATAAAACCCTATAAAAACAAAACATTTATGAGTCACGCAAACATCCGTGCTCGTATGTCTCGCGGGACGCTACTCATTGAACTGGCTGCCACACTCGATATGATGCACGAAATTTTCAGTGACTCGAAACGTAAGACGGCGTAAGCTCCCGTAACATAAAGCAACGTAAGAAAACAGTGTTCTGTAAAATGATGTTAACGGTCATGGGATATTTGGCGGCGTTCATTGTATGACACGCTATGGGAACCAGGCTCTAATAACTCACAGTCTTGCGGTGATTACGGCTGCCATCTCTACTCCTTCGTAGTTGCCGTTCTCCTTAACAAAGCCATACTTATTTCTCGAGCACACGCCTCCTCGAACAGCATACCCTGCGGTGCAAAGCAGAGAAATTGCAGTAAGCAGTTTTCTAGAAGTAATGACACCGTCCTTGAAATTAGCATTCAGGCAATAGTCGGTGCACATTATTGGCATAAAAAAACAACTAAGTCATGACTGCACTGACTCGTTGAAAAGCATGACAATATGTGCAGAATAACAGGTGACACAAAATGTTTTTCATTACTGGAGTGCCGAAATGAATGCCGTCGTTAACGACCGCTTATACTGCGAGTGTGAACCCAACCGTCACCGAACATCTAAAAAAAAATGCGTAGACACCTCGCAGGACGGTTTGGTGAAGTCCTCTCCAAACAACCGCTCACAACACAACAAGGGAATGCAAGACGTGTAAAACGTTGAAAATGTTACTCATTGTGGTCAGATGCAACGACAGCCGAACTGTAACTCTAAAATTTTGACATGGCCTTTAAAGTAAAAGGCTCGAAGTACACCTAAGCACTTATCAGTTGTGAATGCGAGAGCACGCACGCCGCCCTTCGCTCCCTTCTTTAATCTGTGGCGTACAACGCGCTGACCTTGGGCGTGGAACGGTGGAGCCGCTGTTTCGCGGACACGCAGCTTCAGCGGGTGAGCGATTGTTCAAACTGTCGTGCGCCTTGCGGCGCGAGGAAGGAACAGACAGCAACGTAGTTCCCTTGGTTTATTCCATGCGTCGTATATATTGTCACGCGCCGTACAACCGTTAAGAGGCGAGCGAACGCGGTGATTAGTGATAACACAACAGTGTGATAACACAGTCGGGATGACACCACACAAACTGACGCGCGGCGGCCAAGGGGAGCCTCGTCGACGCGCACCAGCCAATGGGACCGAAAGGTAAAAGGTGCCATTGGCTATCTTTGCGCGCGGTTTCATTTAGGTGCCGTTTTGCACGGTTTCAAAGCTGATGACGTCGGCTCGTTCGATGAGACAGTCAATGCTTTCGCATTAAAAGCCACGCCATCATATAGAGCTCTGTATGAGCGCCGCAATAATTGTCCTTTATTTTTGTTTTCTTTCCTTCTTGTCGCACAACAAGCTCTTTGCCATCAAGGTACCACAAAGTCATTGTCTTTTCTCGTCGGTGACAAGTTAAGAGTTAGGTAGAAGCTCCTCCCACCTCCTTCCACTTCAGCAGGGCGAACACTGGAGAGGAGGTCACCCCCTTTCCAATGTTCGCTCTGCTCAAGCGGAAATACGGTTTCATCACTTGCCTGATATGAACGGAGTGGAAATCTTGTGGGTTCGTGTTAGTATTTATTCTACTTCCCTGATCGCTGGAGCGTTTTGAAACAAACCTGAAAACAATATTTCCTTTGAAGACATTAATCAGTAGCTCTTAACAAACGTACACGCTAGTTCATGGGTTATTGTAGCTGGAAATTTAAATCTCCCTAATATTAAATGGGAAAGCATTCAGTCATCCTGCAGTATCTAGCGGGCGTTGATTGAGTTAACCTTACTTAAAAATCTCTTTCAGATAGTTAACGCACCAACGAGAGTGTCAGTTGAAAGGGATTTGATTTTTTACTTCTATTTGCTTTCTCGGAATTAGGTCGAAAGAGTTGAGGAAGTTGAAATTTTAGAAAGCTTTTCGCACCATAATTTGGTATATCTTACTTTATCACCTGCGAAAACGATAAAAAAATGACACGTTTACAACCCCCCGTAATGCCGAATTAGAGCGCATCTCTTAAGGAGGAAGAGGGGATGGTACTGAGAGACGGGTATGCCTTTTCTCCTCCTCCATACCCTCTCCTTCCTCATCCTCTCTCTTCCTCCCTCATGTCGTCACTCGTGACGCTCGGGACCCTAGTAACCCTCAAGACGTCACTCGTGAAGGCCTCGTGAAGGTCGTGACCTTCACTGTGAAGGTTGGTATTTTCACGTAATCTTTATATTGTGAAGGTCGTGACCTTCGTCATGATCTTCACGAGTGACCGTGACGTCACGTGTGACGTCATTATGGGAAACGTCCCACTATGCAACGCGCGGATCACGAGTGACCCGCGCCTATCATCATGGACGTTCCCATATTGCAAATTCCCATATCGCAAATTCCCATATTGCAAATTCCCATATTCATACTGTTAACCCCGATCTCAAAAGAGGTTAACAGTATGAACAAACAAGCAAAAGAGGTGGGAGGAGCTTTGAACTCATTCTTAACGTGTCACCGACTATAGACCATATTTTTGTGACGGACGCCATGTTGAAATATGACATAGTTGGGTTGGGCGACGAAACGTAAAGTCAATAGTTTAAGCATAATTACAACAAAAAAAGTATAGCCAAAAAAGTAGACCTCCTGGCACGCATCCCTTGAATTCTAGCGTCTTTTCATCGGTAAATAAATTGATCTGCTCTTTTGCCCAAACTCAGCTACGTCTGAATTAAACATGGCGGCCGCCACGGAAAACGGTCTGTACGCAAACTTTGCGAAGATATGTTCCTGTCCATTTCGTTTGGTCGGTATCTCTGTGAGGCAGCAGAAAGTCAGTTATGGCAGCTCATGTTTGGTTCGCGGAAAAAGCGTCTATACTCTTCTTCTAAAACTCCAATAAGGGTTTTATGGAAGGTGCAGTCTTGAGTTCGCATATTTGAACTTCATGAGTGAACTCAACCCTACATCCCCGCCACTGGTGCCACCATCCCCCCATTCGCAATTTTCCCCTTATAAAACCTGCAGACGAGGAGGTCCCGCCCACAAAAAGCAAAGCTCCGCCCACACAGAACAATGACGGTGTGCCAGTGGTCCCCTTCTGGTAAACCGCTGCTCGGAGGCAAGCGATAAGCATCATCGTTCTGAAAATTCCATTTGATAGGCGAGTACACATCATATAGGGTGTCCACCATGAATCTTGGCACTATAAAGAAAGCCGGAAATATAGGCGCCTGAACACAGAAAGCTCAAACTTTCAGCGAATGTACATTTAGGTGGTGCATTTTGCCTAACGAAAGCATGAGGCGTGATCACAATAGCCCACACCCCGCGTTTCTTAACTTGTCTGTGACAACACTGACTATTGCTCGAATCAGTCTTCATAATAATGAGATAGAGAGCCGTAGAACTCACCATAAACGTCGCCTTGACTCTTGCGAGTGCCTGATCCCATTATATTGAACCTAAACGAATGTTAGGAAGAAAACGTTAGATTCTGTACATTTACACTAATGAAACTGCAGATGCGTATAAACCCACACCAAAGTTTCCGAGCAGCGGCTGCAAACGTTTTCGCTAAATCAAAAAGAAACACAACAATGGAGACATCAGTTTTTGAGTGGTTAGAGCAAAGCTTGGGCTTGCCTTGGCAATTGACGGCCTTGGCAATAACACAGCACATTGGAGAGCCAGATGCAGACAAAGAATGGCGTCCTCATAACTGATATTTTATGTGCGTGCGTGTGCGTATTTGTGTGTGTGTTAGGGGTGACCCTTTCCTCAAGGTAGAGAACGGGACATCCCAGAGAGGGGGGGGGGGGGGGGGGGAAGGGGGGAGGGGTGCGGGCGGGAGTTTTCCACAAGTGATCTAATCTAGTACCGTTGCTCCATGCTTCCGCCGTGATTTTGAAGCACGCCATGGGCGTTCGCAAGTAACGATAACTGCGTTCACGGCACTTATTGGCCGCGAACGCGACTTCAAATATTCGTCGACGGACTGAATGTCAACGAGCGCAGACGTCCAGTGCCTCGCAGTGCTTGTCTCCAGTGCACGCGTGTGAACTCTGTTCGGATAACGTGCTTGGGAACAGCGGAAGTATCGGAGTGAAAAGGCGGCAAGCTTTCGAATGAAATAAGGTAAGAAATAGACCGCTATATTTTCACATTTTCGTGCCGAAAAGCAGGCTTTTGGCTTCCAACGCTCATGAACTTGTTTTCTTTTGGCGTATACTAAACAAAATGGGATTAGTAAAATCCCAATTTATGACAGCCCAGAATTAATTTTATGGCCAGTTTAGCCGGGGTCACACTGCTCATACATCATACAACAGAGAGTCTGCAGACACGAATCACCGCAGTATCCGTGGTTGGAATGCCGCGTGCCAAGTTTCTTCTTGAACTCACTGCCGTGCGGCATTCGAAGCACGGATATCGCGCTGACTCTCCTTCAAAGCTGTATGAGGACTGTCTTTTATACGTAACGCTGGTTCACACATTTGCAACGCTTGCGTTTGCATGCAACCGAAACAACCGTAATGACCAAAATACCTCAAAAACCCTCATGGATTGCTTCGCGAAGGTATACCCCTTGCCTCGCTTGCCACGCTGTGTACGGCGAACACCTGTCCCGGTAACTTAGTCGTTACTGTCGTTTCGGTTGCATGCGAGCGCAGCCAACGTACATGTGTGAAGCAGCGTTAAGCAGTGTGACCCCGGCTCTTAACGCACCTCAGCTTTGAACGCTTTGAGCGGAAGCTCGCGCTGCAGAACCCAGCGATCCTGGGTTAAATCCCCACCCCTGCCGTTTTCATCTGGATGGCTATCGTACCGGCGTGCCGTCGAGTGTCATTACTTACTGCGTGTTTCACCTTAAAGGGATGGTGAACCGAAATTTGGATTTCAGAAAAAACAATGCTGGATATGTAGGCGGGACGCTACAACCCCTACAACACTATTCGTAAGGCAATATCTAGAATGGACGGCCGTATTTTTAGAAAACTAGGTCGAAATTGAACCAGGCCGACGAAACGCGTGACCGTCAAGATACCTCGTTTCCTCCTCTCATCGCTTCGCTCCCTCAAGGCCGCGAGGGCGAAGAAACGCGAGGCCGTCCCCTCTCGTCCTCGGAGAAACATGACGGGGACATTTCTGCCAAATGCGCCTCTTTTTTTCGAAAAATGCGGTCATCCGTTCGAGATATCGCTGCATGAGTGATGTTTTGGTGTTTGTAGCATCCCGTTGCACGCTTTTGTCGCGTGTTTGGTGGAATTCAGATTTCGGCTCAGCATCCCTTTAAAGGGGTTATGAAATAAAACCTGAAATATGCCTCTCACGTTCAGTAATAGGTTAAAATGGCCAGCAAAATCTGCTACTGGCAATCGCACGTTTGTATTTTGAATCGGATGGCTACATTTTTCGTTCCAAACGGCGATTCTAGCGAGCGCTCAAAAGCAACCATCGGAAAGCGCGATGCGTCTCGGGAGACCCGGCGCCTTCAGCGCGTCCGGGACTTCATGTTTAACTCACCTGGCAGGTCTACAAGGAGGCTGGCATGGTTCTGAGCTTCGTCACTTGGTGGCGTCAACGCTATTTTACCTGACCTTTTGAGACGCCCGATTGCCGGTTCCGCAATGCCAAAGTAGGCAAAAGAATGACTCACCTTTGCTTCAAATTCGCAAGAGTTGAATAGGGGCGAGAGAAACAGGCAATAAGGTTCGGCCAGGTTCGCAAGGGCTCGCGCGCACGCAGCTTGCCGCCGTACTTCGGCGGAGCGGCGCTGTTTTTATGCGAAGGAAGACGTAATCACCTTCCAAGTAGATTTCGGAACATCCACCAAGTGCAATCTGGTAATCTGTTTATTCGTTTTAAATAATGCTTTGATGTCTTTTCGAACAAAAAAAAAAAAAAAAAACTGGTGTCTCTGTGGTGTGGCCAGAGGCACGGTTGACATTTAGAAAATACAGTAAGCGCCAGTATTTCCGTGCAGTACCCCCATCTAGCGGTTTTACTGTACTGGCTAAATTTTTCTTGAACAGCTGAAAGTCAAGTTACCCGTTGAGGGGGATTAACTTCCGGTTGTCTAAACACACATACAACACAATTACTTTTCACATACATACAACACAATTACCGCTGGAAAGGAAGCGATTTCCCTCGCCTCTTCTCCAGGGTTCGTCCTGCTAAAGTGCAAAGGGTGGGGGGCTTTGCGGAAGGTCCTTGTCTCGTTTTTCTTAACCTTCAACTATAGTACAGGTCATTTTATCTCTACGTGCGTTCATTAAAACGAGGGAAAAGTCAGTAAAAGTGAGTAAAAACCACAGAAAAGCCGGGTTGGCAGCAAAGCGTTCCACGCATTGTTAAGGTTCGGTTATTCCCGCAATTGCACTTATTGGGCACACGCCACTATCCGAATGCATGTCGAGGATTCGACTTTCACGAGCCCAAATCGAATGCCTTCGCAGCGCTCGTGTCCACGGTATGAGCCGAATTTAAACATCGTCACCGCGGGAATCGCGGAGCTTGATGACCAAATCCTGGGAATCGCATTGTTGACGACAACAACACAGCGATCCCCAAAAATATTGTCATCAAATTTTGCGAAGGAGAGATTGAAAGAAAACGGTCCGTTTTTATTGTTGAAATTACGAGGCGACACGGAAGCGTCTTTGTCATTGGCGTTCCGTGCGAGTCCACTTGGATTCCACTTGCGCCAGTAAGCTTGTGTAATGTGAGACATATATTACTACCCAATATCGTTGCACGGTCCCTTTATGTATGGTGCCTGGATCGCGTCTCCGACTGGTCTGTTTAACGTCGTATCCCGCCCATACATCGAAAGTGGTCCCAATGTGGCAACAAATGACGTCACAGAAGCCGGAGTGTCATGCTCTTGCCTGTCGTGATCCTGGCTGTTAGCCGTAGAAATATTGGCGAAAAGCACGAGCGAACGCGAGTGTCGCTGTCGTCACGGCGTCCTAGGCGTCCCAACTTCCGGCTGCTCTAGCTTCCGTGAACTGTCACAGTGGAGAGCGACCTGCAGAAGAACAGGCGTCTGCCATTTATACCAGAACTGTTGGGACGCCGCCACGGTCGCGACCGGCGACAGCATGACACTGTTATGACGTCATCAGGCGGAAATCGAGGGACCACTTTTTTGGCCGCGGTAAACACACCAGTCGGAGACGCGTTCCAGGCACCCTACTTTATGGCCCGTTCACACACTGGCGTTCGCTTAGGACCTAGCTCTTCTGACATCATACAGCAAGAGAGCGCACAGGCACGCTGGCGTCATCTTCGCTCGCCAACCTTTTCGGGCGGATCAGATATTCACAGTGCCTGGCGGTCTAAAGAGGAAGCCGTGAAAGTAGGTTCGAAGCACGGGATAAAAATCGCCAATAGATACGGTAGCAAAGATCGCTGTAGCGCCGGCTTTCCTGCACGGCCCTTCATGCTTTTCTCGTGACGCGACTGTCGGCGAATATCGGCGCCGCGCGCGCCGCCGCGCATGGAAAACGGAAATAAAGGAGGCGGCGGAAGCATGCGAACATACGCCAGAGTGCGTGCCATGTCGGCGGAACGAGCTGAGCGGTGGCTCTCCTGGACGGCGCTGGATGCTTTGCTCTTCGCGTGATCGATCACGGCGAATAGTGGCGTGGCGGCTCGGGGAATACAAATGCGCAACTCTGGTCCCTTTTCGGGGGCAGCATATCGAGAAACTCTACCCTCGTGGTCACAGACTTCAAGAGGTTATAAGACACACGGTGTCACCGTGTGTTTTATAACCTCTTAAAGTCTTTGACGGGGGTGATCAGAATTATAATTAGAGAGAAGAACCAAAGACTATTAAAAAGAAACAGGTTCCAAGCCAATTATATTAGTTCAAAATTGAACTTACAATTTCAAAATAATTAAGTTCGTTTTAATTGCTTCTAGCTTTTATCCTTTAGCCTTTAACCTTTAGCTCAGCCGCAATGGGTGTCTAATGTCTTCGCTGTAGATGAAACGTTTAGCCAGCGCAGTACGACCACTTGCCTATGCTTTTCGACGTTAATCACGCTGTACTAATAGCCGACAGCACGCCAGTGCGATGCTCATCCAGAGGGAAACAGGCTTCGCAGCGCGAGTTTATCGAATAACAGAATCATACTTACTGGGTGAGAAAGAGGACCACGTCAGCAGCGGCATGTTGTTTCACACGCTTTATTACCCCCTCCGTCGACATCAGAAGGCTGGCTTCCATTGCAGGCATCTTTGGCGGTCGCTGCTGTTGTATAAGTCTGTCGATAAATTTTGGTGCCTGTAAAAACATCAAACACAGGTACAAAAAAAATACAATGCCATGAATATGTAGAAAAAAACAAAACTTCAGTTAAAACATTTTTTTAGGCAAAAGCTTTATTAGTTTTATTTCGCGAAAAGACGGCGGCGTTGTGCACGCGCCGCTCAATCGTATTGTCACGAATGCCAAATGATGAGGCAGCGAAAAACTAAGGAAACTAAACTTTTCAATGGGCGAACTTGTGCCCAAAACAAACAAGAAGGTTAGCGTCGCAGGCGTCGATGTCAGCGAAACAGCAGAATCGAGCGCTGGGGCGAGACTATCTCCGGCTCGCCAAGCTGAGTCCCTTATGTACTCTTGTGGGTTTCTGGAGGATTCAGCGTAGAAAGTTCGGCGCGAAGAACATTCGTACCTCAATCAGACGACAGGGTTCTCGAACTTCCGAGAACGCTGAATATAAAGGACAAATAAAAGACGCGTCGCTCCTAGGAATCAACCGCATGAAAGCCAAGCTCGGTAACCACTCGGTCAAGCACGCGGTCGCTTGGCGACGCGTGTGGCATTACTCCCGCCGTTAAAAAGAGCATCGCCTCGACGTAGCTTGCCGTGAAATTAAGTAGCAATACAAGCGAAAATAACAGTCCTATCGACACAGACACCCAATACAAGCAAAAACACAGTCCTATCGAGCGTAGTACAAAAACGCAGTTCACAGTCCTGTCGATAGTAATGCGACTTGAGGTGCACGACGTGGATGACTTCCGGTCGTGGAGGGCGGCATGATGAAGTCCGTGTTCCTTCGGGCATTGCCTCGTAGCTCAGACCCCCGAGTCGGCGAAGCCCTTTGTTGGGTCCGAAATAGCGCTTCAGGAGTTACTCGCTTAGACCGCGTCGTCGTATCGGGGTCCAGACCCACACACGGTCTCCGGGCTTCAAGCGAACGTCGATCCGCAAAGGTTGTACCGGGTAACGTCGACAAGTTGTTGATCTTGAATCCGCAGTCGGGCGAGCTGGCAAACTTCTTCAGCTTCAGCACCTGGCCGTCATGGCTCCCGCCGTCAGCTGGTTCGTGGGGCAGCATCGCGTCGAGCATGGTCGTTACTTTTCGTCCATGCACCAGCTGAAACGGTGTTACTCCTGTGGTATTTTGCACCGCTGTGTTGTAGACAAACTTGGCGTAGGGTAACACCTCATCCCACGTCTTGTACTCTACGACGACATATAGGGTGTCTGAAGTCACCAGGCTCGATCTAAAATGAAACGTAAAAATCGGTGCCTGCATGAAGCAATCTGATCTTTTCGTCAAGTATGTATTTCGCAGTTCGAGTTTTTCTTGTAAAATTACAAAGCGTAACTCTCTTCCTGTAAAACATAGGGCCAAAACACTTGCCCGGGTCAGCGGCGGATGGCGACGCAAACGACCTAGTCGCGTTGCAGGGCGCGTTTGGAGCGCGTATTGATAGATGGCGTCGAGGGCAGCGTCCAAAGGTGAAGCCGACCAGTGAAAGAAGGAGACGACACACAGACGAAATTCGACGGCAGCAAAAGCGCCGTCGTTATGCAAACACCTTTTTTTTTACTTTAAGTTTTGCTTTTACTGTGCCCATTATTTTTAAGCCGATGGTGCTTAACAAAAGATTTCTCATTTTAATTAACCACGGCAGTTACGAGCAGTCTCGATTAGAGTTCCTGTAAAGGCTCCCTACGGGAGCCAGAGTTGCGCGTTCACGTGATGAGCCGGATCAAGTGCCGTGCAGGAAAGTAGACGTTGCGCGCGCCTCGCCGAACGTTCCCCTGCTTTTGAGCGCGCCGCGCCTCGAACGCGTGGCGCTGCTATTCGAAGAATTCGGTCACGTGAGGAGCTGGATCAACATGCCATGCAGGAAAGACGACGCTACGGGGATGAAGGCGCAACTCTGGCTCCCGTAGGGAGCCTATTGGGGAGGAGATCAAACAGCCACGCCTCTAGCGGTACGCTTCAGCTGTGGGGACAACAAATAGTATTTTCTTGATTGTTTTTGTTCCGAGAAATGAAAGATGACGATTCGAAGGCACTTCCTCGCGCGACTAAAGCACTGGTCAGAGAGAAGCGCTCGTGCCCAGACCGTGCTCGCGAGGTTCAATTTCATTGTTATACTGTGTTAGTAAACACCGGGCTGTGGGGACAACAAGCTCGATAAAGCGCCCCCTATTGGCGACTTGCGCGAACGAAAGCGTCGCTGTGGTCGGCCGGCCATGATTGGCCGAATGCTGACTATGACGTCAGGAAAGGATTTCTCATTGACGAAAATAAGATAAATGTAAGAGCTTGAATTTTGATGGTATTGGCAGTGTCGCTTTCAGAGGGTAACGATTTCAAGCCTCCACAATGCTCATTGCAAACACCATCGAACTTGTTGTTCGCAATGTAATGACGTCACGAAAGGGAGCCATGGGAGGGCGCCACCAAAACATCTCGCCGCTAATAGTTCGATCTCCTGCCCAATACAGGAACTCTAGTCTTGATTAGGAAGTAGCGCCACCTATCAACACGAGCGCCAAACGCGCCCCGCGACTCGACTCGGTCGTATGCGTCGCCGCCCGCCGTTGACCCTGGCAAGTTTCTTGGCCCTATTTTTTACAGAAAGAGAGCTACCCTTTTTAATTTTACAAGAAAGAAACCGACCCGTGAAATACACCTTTGACGGAAAGCTTAGCGCCCATTTTTACTGCCTATTTTAGATGGAGCTGGTGACTTCAGTCACCCTATACATGGAGATCATGTCGGCGATAGTTTTGTTTAGTCTTTCCGTTAATTCATTTGTGGTACGCAGTGGTTTGACGGTGGCTAGTGCTACCGAGACAAAGGGTTTCTTGCGTCAGCTGAGCCATGTGCGATGATCCGCGGTTTGTAAGGAGGACATCGGGGCCGCCGTGCCGGGGGACAATGGACTCGATAAAAAAAACTTGGCGACTTCAACAGCCGTACCTGATGGAAGGGCTCTCGTCTCGGCGTACCGCGTGAGATAATCGGTCGCGGCGATTATCCATTTGTTTCCTTGCGTCAATGGTGGAAAAATCCAATCCGATTTGCTGGAATGGTGCAGATGGCGGCGCAATAGGCTGAAAAAGTCCTGCCGGTCTCGTCGTTGGTTTCTTTCGTCGTTGGTGCTCGTGGAAAGATCGGGTGTCTTCGCAAGCCTGGGCCAGTAGTACTTTCCGTGTATCTTGGCAACAGTCCTGCTGCAGTCAAGGTGTCCCGCCGTCGGGTCATCGTAGCAGGCTTGAAATATTTCTTCTCGAAGACTGGAAAGAATCATCAACAACTACGCCGTGTTGTTGTCGCTGAAGTTCTTCTTGTACAGCACACCTTGTCGGATGGAGAAGGTTGGTGTTCGTATGAAAACGGGAGGAACAGCGCTTCTTTGTCCATCTAGGTGATCGATAAGTCCTCGCATTTCAGGATCATCTCTTTGGAGTGCTGCAATGTCACTGACATGTAGTGCGCCAAGCAAACACTCGTCATCATTGTCTTCAGTGCAGGCAAGACCGGCTTCGGCAGGGGCCCTTGACAGACAATCGGCATCGTTGTGTTTTCGGCGGGACCTGTACACCACTGTCATGACCAACTCCTGCCGTCGCAGACTCCACCGGGCGAGGCATCCTGAGGGGTCCTTCAGATTCGCGAGCCAGCAGAGCCGATTGGTGGTCTGTAACTTACGTGCAAGTATGGGTGAAATTTGGTGATGGACCAGACAACAGCGAGGCATTCTTTCCTTGTCGTAAAGTAATTACCTTCCGCCATGGACAGTTTCCGGCTTGCATAGGCGATTACCAGCTCTGTTCCTTCCTGTATCTGGACCAGCACCGCGCCACGTCCCGTGTTATTTGCGTCCGTGTGAATTTCTGTTTGTGCAAGCTGGTCGAAATGGCAAAACACAGGAGGTGTTTCAAGTCTTCGTTTAAGCTCGTCGAACACCAGCTGGTGCTCTTCTGTCCACTGAAACATGATGGAGTTTATTATAAGGTATGCCACCGGTGCCGATAGCTTCGCAAAATTTCGAACGAAGCGCGTGTAGCAGGCAAAGAGGCCAAGGAACCTTCTTACAGCCTTTCTGTCCGACAGCGGGGCAAATGCGGCTACGGCACGCGTCGTCTCTGGGTCAGGACGAACACCCTCGCTGCTCACAACGTGGCCTAGAAACTTGAGCTCACCATAAGCGAACTGACATTCCGTTGGCTTGAAAGTTTGTCCAGCGGCCTTGATGGCTTGAAGCACGGCTTGAAGTCGACGTAAGTGCTCTTCGAAGTTGCTGGTGAACACTACTACAACGTCATCGAGGTAAACGAGACAGCTCTGCCATTTTAAGCCTGCTAGCATGGTGTCCATGACACGTTGGAAGGTCGCCGGCGCTGTGCATAATAAGAAGGGCATCACTTTAAATTCGTACAGTCCGTCGGGCGTGACAAAGGCAGTTTTCTTCCGGCATTGTTCGTCAACCTCAATCTTCCAGTAGCTACTCTTCAAGTCCATCGATGAAAAGTACCGGGAGTGGCGCAGACGGTCTAGAGTATCGTCAATGCGGAGAGACGGGTAGACGTCTTTCTTTTTCACAGCCTGGAGTCGACAATAGTCCACGCAGAATCTCAGGGTTCCATCCTTCTTTTTTACGAGCAGGACAGGTGAAGCCAATGGACTGCATGACGGCTGGATGATGCCATCATCGAGCATTTTCTGAATCTGCTCTTGGATGACTTCCCTCTCTTTCAAAGAGGCGCAGTACGGTGACTGGTGGACTGCGTGCACGTCGCCGTAGGTAACAATGCGATGTTTCGCCACTCGTATTTGGCGAACTTTCGACAACGTGGAAAAACAGTCACTGTATTCAACCAGATCAACCAGTTGCCGGCGCTTAGAGCTGGGAGCTCGGAGTCGATGGCGAGCTGCTGCAGAGACGTGCTCTTGTGCTGTGGCGACGAGGTTTCCTCAGAGATTGCGCTGACCATGGCTGCCACTTGAAGTTCCTCGACGTAGTCTACGGTGGTACCCTTCGTTAGGTACTGCGGCTCCTCTCAAACGAGCTCAGCGATCGAGAGCGAAGCCGAACATTTGGCGGCAGGTACAAGCCTCTTCAATTTTTTACGGACGATGTCCCGGATGATTTCGCGGGTCCCCGGGATATTGGGGCTGAGGGCGCAGCTAGTCGACGTGGGTTCAGCGACGCCAGGAACTTGATGGAGGTGGTCGGCTCGTAGGTAAAAGGGTAAAATCGGTGTACACATGAAAGCAAAGCGATTTTTCGACGCCAGAAACCTTCTTCTAGTCAGTGTGTAAGAATGACACGGCGGAAGCATGAAAATAATTACTGGAAACGATGTTTGTTTCTATGCGGCCTACGAGAACCAAGCAGCGATAGCAGATGACAGAGTCGAAACAACCTCCTCTCCTGAGCTTCTCAACGTTGCCGCTACGCGGCGTCGATTTCGCGAGAGTCGCCAATTTCCAAAACTAAAAGTGACACAAACTCTGCAACATTAATGAAATCGCTGCTAGACTGGAGGTGCCACCTCTTGCTGAAATTGACATAACTGATATACACAGGCTCTCCTCACTATTAGACAAGGTTTCGGGCAATATTGTCCGCTTCGCCAGACAGAGCAGCAGCGAGCTATGGCTAGAGCGGAGGGGAAAACTGAAGGCTGTATAACCTTACGTGTACGTTCAAAAAAAAGTGGAAGCCGTTTACAACTCCCTGTAACACCGAATTAGAGCGCAGCTCTTGAGGAGGAGGAGGGAAGGGTTTTGGGGGGGGGGGTCAAGTGACCTGGGGGGGGGGTCACGTGACCTTGGGGGGTCACGTGACGATGCCGATGATGCCATCAGTGACGTCACTGATGACGTCATCGGTGACGATGACGATGCTGATTCCGATGACGTCACCAGTGACGTCACTGATGACGTCATCATCGATGATGACGATGCGGATGTCAGTGACGTCATCAGTGACGTCACTGATGACGTCACCGTGATGATGGCGATGACGATGCGGATGCCGGGGACGTCATCAGTGACGATGACGTCATCGGGGAGGTCACGTGACCTCGGCGGGTGGGGTCACGTGACTTGGGGGGGGTCACGCGACCTCGAAGGAGGGAGTCACGTGACCTCGGGGGGTCACGTGACCTTGGGGTAACCTTAGGATGACCTTGAGGTGACCTTGGTTACGCCGACGGCGACGCCGACGCCACTCAAGCCGGGAACGGGCTCCTAAGAGCTGCGCTCTAAAAACATGACGAAGCGCAACCGAAAGCTTCTATTGGCAGAAAAGGAGTGGAGCAACACGAGTCAGTACAAGTACGTTTGGCATACGAATGGGGACGTGCTTGTAAGGAAAGCTGACGGGGAGCGAGCGCATATTGTTCGGTGTCAAAACGACCTATTTAATATTCCGCAAGTTTTCCATCGTCTTGACTATATAGTTGGTTTTGTTACATTGTAATGGCCTAATCGGTCTTTTATACCTCCCAAAAATTTAAAATGTCACGTTGGTAATGACCGCTTATTGAAATGATTTCATTGAAATGCTCAACCACCTAGAAACAAAGGTTCCGATGTTGAGCTACTCCTGAACCAGTTCGGTCTGTAATCAATGACATGCCGTTTAAAAAAAAATTGTCAGAAATATAGGAGCATACAGTGGATCCTAGCAGTATATTTATTTGATATATTATTTTTAGCTTTTTCAAGCGCAACATTCGCGGCTATCATTTCTTGGGCATTGTGATTGGATACGAGTCGCCGCCAAACCCTCACGCGTCCCTAGCGTCGAATTCATGCTCAAATTATGTGCCCAAACAAAGGAGGACTGAGATGATTGACGCTCTAGCTACCGTCGGGCACTATTGAAAAGGGTGTCTTATTCATACTTCGAGGATGTAGACCATAATTAGTACGCGGAGTGATGACATATCAACTCTCGACATGTAGTGTGGCGCGCAACTGATGTGTGCTTGCTAATCCTGACAACGCGGAGGAAACAAAAAAAATTATGTCCAAGACTGCAGGAGCACTGGATAACGCCAGGCGTTTTTAAAGAGAGAAATATTGTTTCGCGTTACGAGAATTTGCATAAAAGCTTTCAACCGAGTAATTCATTTAATTCGTAGGAAAGATTCAAACAAAGGGAACGGGGAGTATACTGTCTATAGTTGATAATCACGCTGACCGCTTTAGAAACGCGGGGCAGAATCTCATTATTTGTCTTCAGCCAATGAGATTAAGGCATTAGCCAATCGGAACACCGAAAAATCCATCTAAAAGCAAAAAACAAAAAACCACGCCTGGTTTTTTTTTTTTTTTTTTTTTTTTAGTTTTTAGTGATTGTTATAATCGGTCTAAAAAGTTTCTCACGCTGTAGACGCCGAGCAGCATCATGTTAATCCCCGGGTACTCCAGCGCCTGAAGTCGCAGGGCAACCTGCAAACAAACAAAACAAAATGCCTCGAAAAATGGTACAAACCCGGAAAGCGGAGAATACATGCACGATGCATTGTGCATGTAATATGCGTGCGTTATGATTTGCTATGTTTGGTTGCGGGGAGCTGGTTTTAGATGCGCTCCACTTTCACGAATTTCAGTGAATTTTGTTCGTTTTTATTTTTCGTGTGGTTTTGAAACGCACACCAGCGTTCGTTTCTCGCTCAATGACGTGAGGTAAGGTAAGCCGAACTCGTTTTCAGCTGCTTATTTCTTTCGTGACCTCCACGGTACTAAAGCTGTTTGGATATTCGGTGACCTCCCTTGTGGGTCAGCGTTTCACTTAGGGGAACTTGAGCTCTTCGCAAATTTGGGGTTTTCCGGATAGTTTCTGTAGCCGTGTTGGCGCGTCAACAATACAGGGGTCCGTGAATTGTGTAGTTTGAGGAGTTTGATCATACTTTAGACCTGTCATATTTTAATGATTCAATCAATGTTCAAGTGACCCTTCGATTCGTCTTTTTTTTTATTTCCTTCGATGAGGAAGGTAACTTTTTCGTGATGTCTTGTAAGATTATCAACTTTGCGTGCGTAAAGGTTTGGCTACAAAAAGACTGCTTTTTGGCGGGATGGTTACAGTGCGAGTGGCCGTCTGTAAAATCTCTGGATCCTGGGAAAGTAGCGTCATTTCCTTCCCTGCTGATAGCCGGATACAAACACCAACGTAAAGAGGACAAAACCTCTCAAGGTGATTGACTGATAAATAAAAATGTAATGACACTGTACGCTCACTGTAAGATATAAAATTCGTCGGAAAACAGGTAGATAATAAAATAATGTACGCTATAAAAAATCAGCGGCGGCAATAACATGACCGGTCTCATTTGCCATGGTGGTTGCCATTTTGGTCCATTTAAACCTTCAAAACCTCAAAAGGGCCGTTCTAAACCAGTCACACCAAAACAGCTTCGGAGCATCATCGTACTGAAAGCGTTCCTCGCCAATATAAGCGTCTTAGGCTCTGTGTATGTCCTAAAATTATCATTCGTGCTCATCTCCCCAGATCACTTAGAGTGATATTGCGCTTGTTACGTATTTCAAAACAGGAACATTATTTTAAAGCTGTAGCTTCACGGGCGACACCTTGCAGAGATTTCGCCCTCGTGGGTTGTCGTCGCGTGAATGAAAAAAAACCTGTTTTCTCTCCTTGCTTGGCGCGAGGAGAGGGATATCGGGACTTCCCGTCGGCCGTGCCGCGCCAAGGGAGCGAAAAGGGCCGTCCTAGCGTCCCGCCAAGAATGGCGCGACGAAGGGAGAATCTTCGTGTCGTCTGCTTGAAATACTTGTTTTCAAACAGTACTTTGGCAGTATCCGGTTGCTATACGTAATGGTGGATCGTTTTAGAAAGTTTCACTTACCCAATTCACGGATCACTGGTGGCAGTCGTCGGTGGCATCCCCGACGCTAACCACGACGGCTATGAAAATTAACTACATTGCAACTCCGTCCTCAGGGATGTGACGGCATTATTCAACCCGCATCGCGCGACTGTACTACAGCTATCGCTTTCGTTTCTTCACACATTGTAAGCGAAAATACGACTTCTTCAATGCCTCCAAGCACTGACGTCGCCTGTGGAGGCGTACGAAGCTATACGCCATCACATGCGGCGTCAGTGCTTGAAGGCATTGAAAAATACTTTTCCTGTCTTGAAATACGCAAGAAAAGCAATATCACTGTAAGAGACCTGGGGAGATGAGCATGAGTGACAAGCCTTTTGCATGCACAGTGCCAAAAACGCTTATATTGGCGAGGAACGCTTTTAGTACTATGATGCTCCACAGCTATCTTGGTGCAACTGGTTTAGGACAACCCCTTCGAAGCTTGGAAGGTTTCAATGAACTAAAATGGCGATCGCCATGGCAACTGAGACCGATCAGCCAATCACCTTGAGTGTTTTGTCACCTGTGCGTTTGCATTTGTTTGTGTCCGGCTAGCAGGCAGGGGCCGCAGGGCAAGCAATGGTGTTACTTTTCCAGGATCGAGCGACTTCAGCCGTCCGGCCGGAACTCCTCTCGTCTGCCCGCGTCGCGAGTGTTTTTTTTTTTTTTTTTTTTTTTTAATACCTGAGTTCCTAGTCTTGCGTTTCGGCGTGCTTTCCCTTCTCGTGTGTGTTTTCTTTCGTGTGTGTTTTGCCTTCGGGCGTGCTTTTGCCATCGGGCGTGCTGTTGCCTTCGAGCGTGCTGTGGTCTCCGGGCGTGTTTTCCCCCGTTCGGGAGTGCCGTGTCGCGTCGGCCTGCCGAGCAACGAGACAACGACAATCTTCCCGACCCACCATAAACCCAGCATCGGTGAGCATGGGAACGTTCTCCTGCATGGGCTTCAAATCCAGCAGTTTAGACTTTTCTTCTTCGGAACACTTATTATTCGTGTCGAAGAAACCCTGGCTCCCGGGTACATTTGTGCAGCGAACGGCGTGTTGTTTCGTTGCGTCTTAATTACAGTGTTTCTTAATGTTAAAGTTCTTCTCTTTTTTTGTTTTCGAGGTTATGGTGCCCGAAGTGTTCTTGAGCTTGATTTTTAGCTACAACGCGTGTACACGTTTCCTTTGTTTTGTTTGTTTATGTTGCCGCGCATGGCTGTTTAGCGTCTTAATTAAATTTATCTTTTCTTTCTTTTGTTTTTACTCCTGCGTGTCATCGTCTTCCTCGGTTGACTTCACGCCGCGCGTGGACCTATCGCTTGTCAACGCCTCGAATGTAACACTTTTGTTTTTAGTAATTTATCTTGGTTCAAACGCAGTTTGTATTTTATTTTTGTTAATTTTCTTCTCCCACTCCGAAGCATGAACACGCGACACACTCCTGTGTTCTCCGTGTTCAGCCGAGTGATCGAAACAAGTTTAAATTTCTTCAAGAGTGGAGAGTGTCGCGAACATGCTTTAATGAGAAGCTTTAATGAGTGCGTAGTGCCTTGAATCTTTAGGGGTTTTAGCTCGCGAGGAGCTCTTTGTAGTAAGTTGAGTATTTACGACCAAACCAATCATATCTGATCGTACCGCCGGCAGCGGTCATACTTTGTGTGAAACGGATTTTAGAATCGATGTCAGGAGGCTCAAGCAATCGCGTTTTGATCTCTCATAAACTATGCGGAGCGCAAGTTTGTCTGCTTCTTGCAGGGGTTGCGATGATGTCAGAACGTCGAGCTCTTATTGACTGATTGAACAAAGTAGTGGGTACACCTCGAGGCACCTAGCATTGAGGTCTACCCACTATCCATTTAATCGAAACCAATCAGGCCCCGGCGTCATTCTGTCGTCACCGCAAGTCCTGCGCAAGAAGCAGACGACTAGTCTGCTTCCGCATAATCTTCAGATTTCTCAGGGTGGAAGAGATAACGTTTGCCGCGATTTCAAATAAAGCTTTAAATAACTGGCAACAATAAATTTGAGCATAAATCTAGCTGAAGTGTCGTTAGTCTAAAGTGCTACCTAGGAATCGGCTTTACTACACTAAAGCCCATTCCTTTATCTGAGGTGGATCTCTAAAACTCTAAAAATCCGCAGTTGTTAGGTGAGGATCGTAGAAGCGTCTTATCCCAATCAAGTATTAGGTTGGGTTGTTTTTGGAGAATCGAAAATAACACAAACAAGAGACTTACAGATTCCCCATACAGGATTAGGTACAACACTGGATCTTCCCTGACTGGGCTGGCGTATATTTTTTTTAGCAGTTTAGCCTCGGCCACAATTATAGCCTTCATAGTCACATCTGAAACAAGAAAAAGAAAAATGTTATGTGTATAAACAGTGATTTGCCAGTTTGGCGGCACTGTTCTCTGTTAGTTTCGCGGTGTCCAAGCACGCGTCTGCATCTTTCGCAACTCGCTCGTTTGTTTACCCGCCGAATTCACCCACGTGTTTTTGTTTCCCCATTTCCTCAACCATCCTCAAGCAGTGACGGCGCGCGCTCTGGGGGGCTATGTTGCGCTTTTTGCACTCCCAGGAGACTAGGGAGAGGGAAGTGACGTCAACGACACAGCAAACGCAGATTGGGTGTTGATTTTGTTTTCTTCTGTCAACATCCAATCTGCATTTGCTGTGTCGTTGACGTCACTTCCCTCTTCCAAGTCTCCTGGGAGTGCAAAAAGCGCAACATAGCACCCCTGGTGCCTCGTCATCGCTCGTTCCCTTAAACGTTTTCTGTGTTGTTCTTTCATTGGCGGCAACTTCCTAGCGTAGCGACAAGAGTGAACGCCATTAGCCAAGTAATATAGTGGATTGGTCATTAATAGATAATTAAAAACAGCTCAGATTAGATGGGACAACACTAGTGCCTGTCACGTGCGTTCCTTTTTGTCCCGCATATTTCGCGTTGTTTTCTCGTTATGTCGAAAATAAGCCACCCCCTTTTCTTCCTAAGCCAGTGACTATAGGTAATTTGAACGCTTTGTGCCGAAACTGGAGACGAACTTCCGCGCAGAATTGCGTCACTCCGCCTTGCAATTGAAATAATAGAAAAATTAAACTAGTCTTCGTCATGCTCATATAGACCCCGGGAGCACAGGATGTGTCTTGTGTGCATTAGGCGTCCTTCCTCCTTTGCCATGCTTAGGTACGGAAAGCTGTGGGTGGTTTTTGAATGGTGCTGCACAAACGAGACACTCTTGTGTACTCCGGGTTTGTCAAAAAGATCGACACAAGTCTAAATTTATTCAAGAGTGGAGTGTGTTACGAGTATCCTTTAATGAGGAGTTTTACATAGGCCCTACTTCCTTTGTGGGCGCGTGCGGGGCCGTAAATTCTGTGTGCTCTTCGATTGAGAGGACCACCTTTTGATGTATGGAGTAATCACGAGGGGAAGAGGTTCATCGCGCCCTTTACGCTATCTATTGAGGGCTGTCTAAAGTTGTGACGTCATCTGTCGACTACGCTATACCTTGGTACGTTTGTGATCCACCCAGTCATGTCGTAAGTCCATGTGGACTTCTACGCTTCGTTCACTCAACCGACGCAATTTCCCTCAATTTACTTCGGTGGCCATCGCGCCAACTGCCGACAACATGCAATCACGGAAGCCACAAAGAGCTAGTACAAATCGCGGAAGGACTTGTTCCGGCCAGTTCCGTGTTTTCCCGCTAGTTGCTGTCGGTTTTGCTGGAGTCGTATGTCTGACACGACCCTTCGGTTACGAGCCAGACACGTTACCCACTAGGCCGAGCAGACACGCTTGAACGGCTTGGCAACGAGCGGGGTTTTGTGCTTAGCTTTCGCGTTCCACTCTTATTTGACATTCTCGCAGGCGCATGCAGAGTGGAAGGTCAAAGGGCCGGCGGCGAGAGTGAGAACAGCGGTGGAGTAGCAGAGTTGCTTGAGCGGTTTCGATCATACCGTGGCAAAGCGAGCTGGGCCAATCATGTTGGCGCCTAGAATGAGAGAGCATTCGTGATCGCGTGGTGTATGGCTTAAGTACAGCTACATCTGTACTTAGGCTGAAATGAAGGATATAACTTTCCACGTAGAAGCACATTCTCATTGTCTCTAACCCGACGACTTTACAATTTGCAAGACGCCGACCTTGCCGTTAGCTCTTTACCTCCATACAACTCTTCCGCATTAAAAATAAAAAATAAAAAGGTGAAATTGAAAATATCGATTCATATTCCTCAGAAAGAAACAAATGTCACTTGCTCTTGGGCAGCCTTGCCTCCTGGGAAACGTTTAAAGTGGCGGTGCAATGATTTTCAGACTTATGGCCAATCAACTGCGGGAGCTAATTTGTCGCCTAACCTATGGAACAAAGAACATTAAACCACAGTTTTCTGCGCACTCAAGTTTTAATCTTTAAAAATTAAACAAATCGAAGGTCAAACTGCTTCTCAACTCTCTCTTCGTCATTCGAGTGACGTACTAATGAGGACCACCTGGTTTCCCGTTGAATTTTCTCTTGAGAGACCCCAGCCGCTTCCTCCGCAATTGTCGACTTTTCAAGGATTAGCATCGTCGATTGTTGCGGCGAGCGATCGACACAAAAGACGGTTTGCCACGGAGCTGACGGCGAGTGTAGCAGAGGAGGGGGACAGGTGTTGTTGACTTCCGCTCGTCCCCGAGAGACGTGTCACCGTAGTTTCCGTGACCACCACACGCGGCTGCAGATCGACAAATAATTATTTATTTTTCCTTTGCGATTACGCAGCGTAATATCAATTTTTTCGGGCATTTTTGTCCGCTTTTGTCGTGCCTGGTTAAACAGCATAAAAAATACAAATTGCAAGCTCTTTCACGATTAAAGTCGCCGACTAACGCAAGAGTGCTTTATTGACGCATCGAATGATTACAAAGGTTCAAATCTCTTCTTGTCCGTGCTACACTTGTTCATGCGTATCGAAAAACAAAAGACAAAATAATAGATACGTAGTACCGCAAAAGACTCTTTTCGAAAGCCAGAGCTAGTCACTTAGTGGCAGCCTCAAAGTCTCCAATATTTTCTCCTTAATGGCGATGATTAGCTCCGAAATGAATCAGTGGGGTCCTCTTATAGCTTCTGTTTGGGACGCCACTATAAAGATTCGCCCAACATTATTAGATTAGCTCAGTTAGGGAAATGCTCATAGACGCCGCATGCACAAGCATTAACCACCCCCCTCTTCGCCCCCCCCCCCCCCCCCTTTTGTCCCCACGGATCACCTCCCGACGCTCGATGCGTCGGACGCGTCTGCTCCGGTAACTGCACTGTATTTTATGGAATACGTAGGTTTCGAAGCACAGCCTCTAGATGGCCTTCCATTGTACTCTCTAACGGAGCCATATGTAGGGGAAGAGTGTGGACATCGATTGTCTTCGGTGACACCTAGCTCGCCGTACCTTCGCTCCTCCCAGACGCCTCCCATGGAACTGACGTCACGCCTAGTAACCGTCTAGCAACGGAAAACGCCCGGGGAAAGGCGCGAGCCTGTCCACCATTACCGTTCCCAGGTCAACGCGCGCGCATGCCGGACCATGGTATCCGGCGTACAGAACCCTTTTTTTTAGGGGTTCTGGTAAGGAAATGGTCGCTTGTTGCGAGGCTTGATATTCCAATTCCATGTGGTCAGGATTTTCGTTGTATAATTTATAATTCTAAAAGAAAAACAATAAAACAAAAAGAAAATGTCGCAATATAGGATTGAATAAAATCAAGCGCGACAATTGCGGGCGCCCACAGAATGCTCTAGTCTTTGAGATGTAAGAATGCTTGTGTCATCCTGAAACGTTTTATAACATGGAGTTTTCGTTAGAGTAGCGACGAAAACTAGCAAACTAGTTACTACAAAAAGCTCGCATGTAATGTGTAATGTGAATAATTGGCAGCGCGAGGCAGGGACGTCCCATCTGTGAAGCGTTTTCCCCTGCCTTCTTCATACCGCGAAGTGAATAAATTTATCATTTAATGTCTCCTAATAATTTTTTTTATGAAAAGTCTAATTTTGTTGTCTTTTTATCTTTGTGGTCATTTTTATGTAATCACACCATGATGGATGCTGAGATTGCAGTGCCGTCAGGAACGGTCAATCAATTGAGTTAAATATATTAAAACGAACAAGCTTAACATTTGCAACGAGCCGCCTGGCGCTGAGTCACTCGAAGTTTATTTCGTAACCTTCCGTTATGAAATAGACGGCTCTAACGTTACGACAAAAGGATAGTGCCGGCGCCGTTTTTAATGCCAGCAAACTCGCCCAACCTTCAGTTATTTCATTCATTTATTTATTCGTAACCTTTGGGCTTCCTAGAGTTTCAAAGGACAAGATCGCGTTTCATTGCTGAGAGAGTTCGGGGAGGCACCCGGTAAGCATGCAAGGCGTGGCCATCCATAGTAGGGGTAGCGACCGCTTCGGTCAAGCCACATATCGTTTGACACGCTAGCGCTTAGTCAAAAGGAAATGCAAATAGGAAGAAACGAAACGCTGGGAAACTCTTGGTCAAAGGGTTTCAGCTCGCTTTACAATCTAACAGATACCTTTCTTTGAAAACACGGACAACGATGGCATCTTCGATTACGCTTGCTTATCAGAACACTCTACGGAAAGTTCCTCAGCTGCGAATTAGGAGTTGTTATCATTGCACACTGCTAAAATACCAAGACGCGTCCACTAGAACTGAAAATTGCGAAATTCGCGCGACGCGCCGAACGTCCGCGAAGCCTATGAAGGGGATGGTGACGCGACGCGTACCGAGGGAGAATAGACCGCGAACTAACTTATACCGCTCCTGAATAAACACGACACATCCTAAATACCCCTATCGGATGACATAAAACACAATAAAAACATTCGTACATTGGGGGAAACCGAGAGCCAAACATACGGGCATCAGTCCCCGGCGTCGGTAATGCTCGAAGATGGTAAAATGGGAGTGGCCATGGCGTTCGCGTGGCATGTCAATGACGCAGTTGACAAGATGTCAACGAGTCCACGCCAGCTGGCCAAACTCTCCCCTATATTTGGCTCTGCTCTATGGCAAAGCCGTATATGGAGATGGTCTGGCCAGAAGGTGTGGCGACGAAGACGCTGAAGAGGAGAAAAGTGTAGGAAATGGAGGAGAGCGCCAAAGAAGCGAGAGATAAAGCGCAACACGCTTTCGCTGCACGGCACTTTTGAGGCTACGCGTCGTCTACTACGGGCTGACGTCTTTTTTGCCTGAATTAAGGTTTGCGGTCAAAGGTAAAAAAAAAAATCCTCATTCGTAAGCTTTTTAAGCCACCGCGAAATAGTGCAACCCACTGATAACGAT